TTACAAACGAACAAATACATCTTACATAACGAACTTCTACCCTTCAATGAAATCAATATTAAAGACTACTTCGAAGCCACATCGAAGTTTCAATGAAATGTTAAGATTAATAAACTACTTCGAAACAAAAACTTGTTATTTTTTCATAAAATTATACACAACTTGTTTATTTTTTTTACACAAGTTAAATACATCAACAATATTTGGAAAATGCAAATTTTGCTTATAAACAATTTCACAACTTTGTTTATATTTAGAAATATATATAATAATGAAACCTGTTATTTGATTTATTTCTACCTTTTACGGATTATCTGTAAATTTAAATTAAAAACAATATTATTTTTATCCTCGAAACTTAAGTAACAAATTATCACATTTCTTGATTATTGTACGTGACACTATGGTTCGCAAGTATTCTAATTAAAGATCATCATTTAGGCTTTACAATATGTGAACTACCATATTTGTAGCTTCTCTAATGATTTGACAAATTATAAAACATTTTGTTGGAATTATCGAAAATCGACGCTTCACAAATTATCAATTTTTCTTGATTATCATACACGGTGCTATGACAATTTTAATTAACGACCAATATTTAGGCTTTCCAACGTGTTATTTGCTTTATTTCTGCCTTTTACGGATTATCTATAAATTTAAGTTGAAAATAATATTTTTTTAATCCTCGAAAATTAAGTCACATACTTAATAACCTTCTCCCTCAATATTCAATGACTTCAGCCTTGACCTCAGAATAATCTTACACACATCACTGAAATCTCCTTAACATCTTCAATAAAATCAATATGACAATCTACTTACAAACAGACAAAGACATCTTACATAACGAACTTCTACCCTTCAATGCAGTTTCAATGAAATGTTAAGATAATAATAATAAACTACTTTGAAATAAAAACTTGTTATTTTTTCATAAAATTACACACAATTTGTTTATTTTTTTTACACAAGTTAAATATACAATATTGAAATGCATCAATAATATTTGGAAATTGCAAATTTTGCTTATAAACAATTTCACAACTTTGTTTATATTTAGAAAACTGTTTGTAAAATATATATATAAAATAATGAAACAATACATTTAGTATACAAATAAAGGACGTTAAATAAAGCGTGAAAGCAATATTTTTTTTTAAATGCAAAGCTTCAAAGAGATATTTAATCATTTGTAAATCGTCTTAACTAAGTGAATAATTGATTTGCGGATTAGGACTAATTTGAAGAAGAGATCTTTATTAATCGTATCCCATTATCATCTTGCTTAATCAGTTTAAAACCGAGCAGGGATTTTTTAATTGCAAATCTCTGCTGAAAGGGAAAAAACGAAGAGATCAAAGGGTCACTAAATACATTAAGTTCATCCACCCTACCGGATCTTCGAAGTTTGTCCCAACAAAATGACCATCCCTTCTTTTGCATCCCTTTTAGTATTTAATTTTGCATCTCGTCTAATTATCGACTTAAATTTTATTTGTTACTGAAAGAGATTTTCCTGCGCCCGTCAACTTTGATTTCCCAACTGGCTTTGCATAATTCAGGATTTCAGGTCTGAAAAGTATACGGCGCACCGAATTAAATTCAGATCTGCATTTTTACATTTACTGCTCCTTTTTTTTTCATCAAAATAGTAGTAATAAAGCGCGACTTTTCGCTTTTAATCAGAGCCTCTCCGATGTTTGGGTATCGTCCTTTTCGTCTGCTTTATGCGCACTTAAAGTTAATGAGTTAGAATGGAATAGATTCGAGCCTGTCGTAAAACGGTTATAGGAAAATACTTAGGGACGACCGATCTTATCCTTTAATCCATTTTATGGCACCGATAAGTAAATTGTGCCAAAAAAAAAACGAACGCCAACCCTCGCGTTATAGATTAAATAGTTTCGCGAGAGTCGCGGTGTTTCCGTTTCCTCTCGTTACCAACGTTCGTTTCTTTTATTCGCATCTGATAATTACTGAAGTACAGATAAATCTGGGAGCGCCGGATAAATCCGGACTAGGACCTATCTCTTATTACGGCCCAATAAAAGCGGAGCGTTAAAAAGTATATTACCTCCATTACGCTTAAAACGCTCAGCCCGAAGCACAGACCCGTTATTCCTCCAATCTGAACTGCAAGTTCACCAACATCCAAAAAAAAATGTAAAGATAATTAACTAAATCATGAGAATCCATCTGATTAAAGGATGTAGTCTTTACCCAATAAATCTGTGAGCGAGTAAATAATCGATCTTCTGTATCTGACCGGAATGTTGAAGATATAGATTATTTGGGCGACGCATCCGAAGATCCAGTCTTTGCTATCGCCCGCTAAGACAGTCACGATGTCCTCGTTGCAATTCGGTTCGCATTGGCACAGATTATTCCCGTCTCCGTCACGTAGCCGGATCATTTGGTCTGCAAATGCTACTACCATCAATAACCCTTTTCGCAAATTAAAAGATCCAACTTTACCGTCGTGCTGCGACAGGCACATCATCCCGTCTATCCCGCAGATCTTGCTACCATCTACATCAAAAATTAAGAAGAAAAAAACAGCAATAGTTTTTGAAGAGATGTATTTTTTGTTGGTACATACGCAAATTCCTGTAGTAGAATGGCAGGCATTTGCACAGCCTCAAAGCCATCTCTATGCGACACTCGATCTTGCACAGCTTCGTGCTGTAAACCGGACTGTACTTCAGGTTGCTTTCGTCGATGAATCGGCAATGCCTTTGAGAGATGTGCAGATTCCTCATGCTTTTCGGCGACCACGTGCTTTGCGAGTTCACCTCGAGCACGGTGAATTTCATGCCTTCAACCAGGAAACGCTTTGACATCAGATCGATAAGCTCGTTTTTTCCGTGCATAAAAAACTAAATTATTCAAATTAACTCAAATTATCAAATATATGAGTCATTAAAACAATAGCAATTACAATTATGAAATTGTGTAATATCCGAAGAAACTTTTATAAGATTTTTACCATTACGTTGGCGTCGATCGAATTCAATTTAAACATTGGAGATTCCAATGCAGGTGTTATGTAATCAATACGAGCAGTCGGCAACTTGTGCAAATGATTATGCTTCCAATACCTGAAAAGTTTAACAATTTCAATCCCTTGAGATCCTCGCTTATTCCCAAATACTAACTCGTACGAGAAATATGGAGCAATCTCGGAATTGTAGTTGTAACAAAACCCGTACTCCGTCATAATCTTTGTCATATTCCTATCAAAGGATATAAACTCTTGTTCGGTGTCGCCGAGATAACACAACTGGTAATTCAAATCTATATACATCTCAGGTGGGATATCATCGAAATCTTCCTTATACTTCTCCAAGTTCCCATAAGTTGAGTAATTGCCGTAAAAAAGATCTTGTAAGAATTCACTGAACAGTTCCAATTTCGCCGTTGGAACAGTCTTGTTTCTAATAAGAAATTGCAATTTGATTGTGTAAATATATATTGTTGTGATTATTACTCGGCTATCTCAGCTAGTGTATCCATTTTGAAGCTGACCGGACACGCCGTTATGGAAGGGAAAGCCGTTACCCAATTCCAGTGGTCCCGTTCCAAAGTTATGACAGTCGGATGGTGCCAAAAATGCGTCCATGCGACGCCAGCAAACAAAATGCATGGGACACAAGCTGCTACAATTACCAGAATCCAGAAAAATCTACAACCCAAAAACCGCTGCATTTAATTACAACATTAATTAACAGAATATAACTTACATTTCTAGTAAAATTAATTAGTTTAATAGAAAAAAATTGATATTATTTTAATTAAAACTAAGATTGTTTTATATAATTAAGTAAACTTGATATGATTTCCAACTCTTTTTATGGATGCTAAAAGCGAATCAAACTAATAACAAAGCAAAGCGTGGTTATAGTTTGCGATAAAAATGATATTAAAAATGCTAATTGAAGTTTTATGTATTGCAATAAAAAAAATGTTATTACTATATTTGAAAAGTTTTAATTTTGTATAAGATAATAATGGAAACATTTATGGATTTTTAATAAATATGGTCAAAGTAAAAAAAAATATTGTGTGAAGTTTAGAAATCATGCAATGTTTAGTGGACACTCTAATTAAAGACAAATATTTAGGCTTTTGAACGTGCTATTTGCTTTATTTCTACCTTTTATGGATTACATGTAATTTAAAATTGGAAAAAATATTTGTTTGTCTTCACAAATTACCATATTTCATGATTATTGTCCGTGAGTATACTAATTAAAGACCAATATTTAGGCTTTACAACGTGTGAACTACAATATTTGTACAATGATTTGAGAAATTATAAAACATTTTGTTGGAATTATCGAAAATCGAGTCTCTTCACAAATTATCAATTTTTCTTGACTATGATACACGGTGCAATTATCAATGATAATTCTAATTAAAGATCAATATTCAGGCTTTTCAATATGATAACTCCAATATTTGTAGCTTCTCTAATGATTTGACAAAGTTTAAAACTTTTTTTTTAATTATTGAAAATTGAGTCTCTTCAAAAATTATCATTTTTCTGGATTATCAAACACGATACAATTATCAATGAAAATTCCAATTAAAGACCAATATTTAGGCTTTCCAACGTGTTATTTGCTTTATTTCTACGTTTTACAGATTATCTGTAAATTTAAGTTGAAAACAATATATTTTTAATCCACGAAACTTAAGTCACAAATTATCATATTTCTTGATTATTGTACGTAACACAACTGTCCATGAGTATTCTAATTAAAGACCATTATTTAGGCTTTACAATATGTAAACTAACCATATTTGTAGCTTCTCTAATGATTTGACAAAGTTTAAAACATTTTTTTTTATTATTGAAAATCGAGTCTCTTCTGTAATTATCATTTGTCTTGATTACCATACACCATACAATTATCAATAAGAATTCTAATTAAAGACCAATATTTAGGCTTTCCAATATGTGAACTGCCATATTTGTAGCTTCTCTAATGATTTGACAAATTATGAAAATTTTTGTTGGAATTATCGAAAATCAAGTCTGTTCACATATTATCATTTTTTCTTGATTATCATACACGGTGCAATTATCAATAAGAATTCTAATTAAAGACCAATATTTAGGCTTTCCCATATGTGAACTGCCATATTTGTAGCTTCTCTAATGATTTGACAAATTATGAAAAATTTTGTTGGAATTATCGAAAATCATGTCTGTTCACATATTATCATTTTTTCTTGATTATCATACACGGTGCAATTATCAATAAGAATTCTAATTAAAGACCAATATTCAGGCTTTTCAATATGTAAACTCCAATATTTGTAGCTTCTCTAATGATTTGACAAAGTTTAAAACATTTTTTTTTTAATTATTGAAAATTGAGTCTCTTCACTAATTATCATTTTTCTTGATTAACATACACCATACAATTATCAATGAGAATTCCAATTAAAGACCAATACTTAGGTTTTCCAACACGTAAACTATCAGATTTGTCAGTATTACTGATTTCATGTAATTTATGATTTAAATTGAAGCCTCAAAAATCGAGTGTCATAAATTAACATTTTTCTTATATATTATAAACAACACCATTATCAGTAAATAATCTTATTAAAGACAAATATTCAGGGTTTCTAATGTTCTAACTGCCATATTTATAGCTATTACGGATTTCCTGAAATTTAAGATGAAATATTACTTCTAGAGATGAAGAGCCGACAATTACTCTATGCACTAAGTGTGTGTTAACTTATGATTGATTTTCCATTTAAATCAGACACACATCAGACCTTAGTAATTTCACTCGCTCCCTATTATCAAACCAGTTCGAAGGTAATTACAGAGTCAGAGTAGCTCAATACATTACTTACGTATCGTTCTACGAAGTGCTCTTAAATGTATAACGCTGATCAATATAGGAAATGATTCGCTTATTAAAAGGTCCTGAATAAATAATCGTGAAAAGGAGTACCTTTCAAAAGGCGTCCTATCCCTCCTCACCACCTGCACGAAACCATGAGCCATGGCGTTTTCCATGCAGTAAATAAAGTAATCGGATAAGCGCGACCTCAAGCCGTGCCTCCTCCTCCTTTCCTTCATCCCTCCGCGAACCGCCGCCACCCTGGACGGCTTAATTTTCTCCATCCAAACCCCTAAAAAAAAACTTCACTTATTGTTCTTGTTATTATTATAACTGTAACTTCGATGATTACTTCGTCCGTTGGATTATATTCGAATGCGTTCGCAGTGAGAGAGTGATTCGCGTGTTCCGGTTGATCGCGTGCCGCCCCCATGAATATATATACATATATACATTAATAAATACATAAAAAATGTATATAGAAAATCACATGAGTGGGAAAAGGAACGAGAGATATAGCATTTATCGCAATTGCATAATAATACAACTCGGACAAATCGTAATAGCAATCATAAAAATTAAAACGCGTTGCTCTCATGCAAACGGCTCTACAAATTACGCCGCACAATAATAAAATGAACGCAATCTAGATTATCTTGCTTCTATTTTGTTTCCCTCTTTTTCACATGTTTAATAATAGTACGTGTTTCTTTCTAATTGAATTTAATTATATATGTGAAGTTCATTTTCGATGCAAATTCATTGGCAAAAATAGTAAAATATAAATGATTTAATAGTCCAATTTAGGCAACTCTCCTTATTAACTAATTAAGTGCAAAGTAGATAATGACTCGTTAATTAACATGTAACAGTCTTGTTAAATTACAAGCCTCGTCCACATCTTTAGTTTACTTATATTTGTTAATAAATATCTAACAACACTTTTTACTTACTTAATATGTAACGATTCGTTAATTATGATTCAAAAGTCTTGTTAGATTACAAGCCTCATCCACATCCAATACAATGATTTGATGGTCCAATTAAGGAAACAATTCTTATTAACTAATTAAGTGCAAAATACATAAGGATTCGTTAATTATGATTCAACAGTCTTGTTAAATTACAAGCCTCATCCACATCTTTAGTTTACATATAACAAATTCTTATTCATTTATTAATACATATCTAACAACACTTTTTACTTACTTTTTTCTTTGAATATCATTTTAATGATATATTTCCTAATATTGATTTCGACCACTATTTTTTTCTATAAATATTCCCAATTCCTATGAAAATAGTAAAATACAATGATTTGGTGGTCCAATTTAGGCAACTCTTCTTATTAACTAATTAAGTGCAAAATACGTAATGACTCGTTAATTAACATGTAACAGTCTTGTTAAATTACAAGCCTCAACCACATCTTTAATTTACTTGTATCAAATTTTTATTCATTTATTAATACATATCTAACAACACTTTTTACTTACTTTTTTCTTTGAATATTCCATATGTTTCATAAATTATATCATTTTAATGATATATTTACTAATATTGATTTCCACCTCTAATTTTTTCTATAAATAATCCTAATTTCTATAAAAATAGTAACAATAGATTTAATGGTCCAATTTAGGCAACTCTTTTATTAACTAATTAAGTGCAAAACACAATTTATTTATTAATACAAATTTAACAACATTTTCTTAATTATCAATGAAAATACATGTGATAACAAATTGATAAATATTACACAACTTTAAATGTTCATCAACTTTATTCACACTCTTAATTATTTACTTTTATTTGTATCTGCCGTCACGTAGATATGTCACGAACCAATTCGACTCCTCGTCTTCAATACCCAACTGCTCCATTCTTTTTCGTGAGTCTATCATTAGATAGAAAGCTTGTTTTCTTCGTGTCCACGAAAAACGTGATTTTGTCTATCTAATATATTGTGTTATATGTTTTGTGTCACGTCTGGAGCAATGTTTGGACATTTTATTAAATTCACACTTATTTCTTTTTCTATTTCCATTTAGATGTTTCATCTTTATTTTCATTTTAATATTTTCTCTTTGATTATTAAAAAAATTCAATTTTTATTTCATTTTCTTCCTGGCAGTATTATGAGTACGCGCTGCATTTTACTTATCATTTAATTTACTAGCTTTGTGCCCTTGACATTGAACTAATTGTTAATATCGTTTGAACATGCAAACATTTTTTATCTTGTATCTGTTATAATTTTTTCCCTCTTTCTACTACGTATATTCTTTCTTTTATTTTATTATATATAATTCATATATTAATTAGAAAAATTCTAGATTTTTTTCTCTAATTATTACTTTTACTTTAATTAATTTTATGTATGACTTGATGTATGACTTATTTAATGTTAATTATTTTATAGCTTATTTTATAGAATTTCAGTTATTTTATTTCTAAAATCTTTTAGAAATCAACTTTTTATAGACGTATCTTTAATATTGTCAGTTTTAACTACAAATTTTGGATTTTTTTACATATTTATAAGTGACGTTGGAAATTACAAGTTCTTGTCCATATCTGCAATATGACAAAAAATGTACTTAATGATTCTTTATTTGAAAATCATAAGCGATTAGTTCGGTTTTCAATCATCTTTTCAAATCTACTGTGAGTTATACTTTCTTCAAGTTATCGCATGGAAATCGTAACAAAAAAGAACCAATTTTCAGTGGGATTTATCAATCAACATCAATAGGTCTACATGAAAAGCTTTCTTAGGTAAGGTAAGTATATGCACTTTCATCATGATTATCTGAGTTATCAATCATATTTGAAACTTTGAAATTGGCAATGAGTTATGTTTTATTCGAGGTATCACATGGAAATTGTAAGAAACAAGCTTCTGTGGGATTCATCAATCAATTTTGTAGGTGATCATCGTCTACATAAAATGATTTCTTTATCCTGAAGATCATCATTAGTCGAAGGTAAGTAAACGCACTTTATATATGATTATCTGAGTTATCAATCATATTTGAAGCTTGAAATCTTATGAAATTGACGGTGCGTTAGGTTTTCTTCGAGTTGTCATATAAAAATCGTTGAATTTTGTAGGTAATCATCGTTTCCATCAAATGCTTCCTTCAAACTATCAAATGAAGATCATCAGGGTTAAGCTAAAATGTAAGCAATGTTATTAATCATATTTGAAGCTAGTCATCTCTTTAAATTAGAAATACCAAAGTTTTTCTCAAGTTTATCAGGATCAATCTACAAACTATTAGTATTTTGAAGAGAATTATTATTCACAAAAAATCAACGACGATTAAATAATCATTTTCAAGCTGAAAGATAAGCACTTTGTACATGATTGACTGAGTTATCAATCATATTTGAAACTTTGAAATTGGTAATGAGTCACGTTTTCTTCGAGGTATCACATGGAAATTGTAAGAAAGAATCTTCTGTGGGATTCATCGATCAATTTTGTAGGTGATCATCGTCTACATAAAATGATTTCTTTATCCTGAAGATCATCATTACTAGAAGATAAGTAAACGCACTTTATACATGATTATCTGAGTTATCAATCATATTTGAAGCTTGAAATGTTTTGAAATTGACGGTGAGTTAGGCTTTCTTGGAGAAATCGTTGAAATTTTGTAGGTAATCATCATTTCCATCAAATGCTTTCTCCAAACTTTCAAATGAAGATCATCAGGATTAAGTTGAAATGTAAGCAATGTTATCAATCATATTTGGAGCTAGTCTTCACTTTAAATTAGAAATAGGAATGTTTTTCTCAAGTTTATCAGGATGAGATAATCTTTCTTCGAGTTGTTACATAAAAATCATTGAAATTTTGTAGGTAATCATCGTTTCCATCAAATGCTTTCTCCAAACTTTCAAATGAAGATCATCAGGATTAAGTTGAAATGTAAGCAATGTTATCAATCATATTTGGAGCAAGTCTTCACTTTAAATTAGAAATAGGAAAGTTTTTGCTCAAGTTTATCAGGATGAGTTAGTCTTTCTTCGAGTTGTTACATAGAAATCATTGAAATTTTGTAGGTAATCATCTTTTGCATCGAATGCTTTCTTCAAACTACTAAATGAAGATCATCAGTGTTAATCTGAAATGTTATTAATCATATTTGAAGCTAGTCATCACATTAAATTAGAAATAGGAAAGTTTTTCTCAAGTTTTTCAAAATCAACCTATAAACTATTAGTATTTTGAAGACAGTTATTGTTCACATAAAATCAACGACGATTAAATAATCATTTTCAAGGTGAAAGATAAGCACTTTGTACATGATTGACTGAGTTATCAATCATATTTGAAACTTTGAAATTGGTAATGAGTTATGTTTTCTTCGAGGTATCACATGGAAATTGTAAGAAACAATCTTCTGTGGGATTTATCAATCAATTTTTGTATGATTTCTTTATCCTGAAGATCATCATTACTGGAAGGTAAGTAAACGCACTTTATACATGATTATCTGTGTTATCAATCATATTTGAAGCTTGAAATCTTTTGAAATTGATAGTGAGTTAGGATTTCTTCGAGTTGTCACATAGAAATCGTTGAAATTTTGTAGGTAATCATTGTTTCCATCAAATACTTTCTTCAAACTATAAAAAGAAAATCATCAGAGTTTCTTCAAACTATCAATTATTAGACAGTTATTGTTCACATAATATCAATAAAGATTAAATAATCATGTTGAAGCTGAAAGATAAGCACTTTATACATGATTATCTGAGTTATCAATCATATTTGAAGGTATTGATTTCACATAATCAGAATCGACTTATCAGCAATGTTTTTCTCAAGCTATAAACTGAAGATCTTCACGATCAAGTTGATTGATTATGATGTGAGTTATCAATCATTGATGACTTGCTTAAAAATCATCAACTCATGAAACAATTTTTGATAAATTTAGCCTATAATAACGAAAATTACAAAATTCTTCAATAATCAATATCTTTTAATTTATATTGAGTTGTTTTTTTTTGTAAATGAAGTAAAGGTTTATTGATTGTTTTCAGTGCGAGGAAATTAAGTTTGCAAGGCACGCGTCTGAATTTCGGGTGGCGGCGCGTGTTTAAGAATGTTATGCAAGGCAAACACATCAGAAAAAAAGGTGGATAATGACA